CCTGCAGCCCCTTCATGGGGATGTGGGGTGCGCAGGGGGACACAAGTCCCCAGGAGTGCTGGGAGCAAGGTGGGGGCGGTCCCTCTGGGGCAGGGTGGATGTCACTGCCTGGCTGCCCCATCTGCCCTTGGGGACAGCAAGCCCGTGGGCTTGCCTGTGTGGTGGGGCAGGGGCCTGCTGCGCTGGCCCAGCATGGGACACCCACAGTGGCTGTCTTTCTGCACCAGGCAAGCCACTCACTGCCCCTCCACCCCTGCTCCTTGTCTAGCTGTCTTGCATCAGTGTCACCAGTGCCATGTGGTGCTGGGGTCCACATGCCAGGCGGTGGAAGGCTGCACAGGCTCCATGGCCCCAGGAGACTCTTCTCCCCCTGACTCCCCTTGGCCCCATGGCCATGGCTAGAGATGCCCCATACCGGGGCCAGGGCAGCACCCCAGCCCAGACCAGGGGTGTCTGTGCCTGGCAGGGGAAAAGAAGGCAGTGCCAGGTCTCACCCAGATGCCCCATAGGGCAGAGCTGAACCTGGGTGCCGATTCCAGCCAGCTCCTCTCCCCACCCAAGGGCACAGAGTGGGCTCCTGGGACTCCCCCCACACTTTTTCCAAGGTGCAAATGAAATCCCAGGCAGGGAGCACATGCCCCACTCTCTAGCTGGCCCCTTTGCCCCCACCCTGGCCCCACAGCAAGCCCCAAGCTGTTTCTGCCCCCTTTCCATCTCCTGGCTTGGGGCTGACCCTGCATCATCCAGCGCTTGCTCCCTGACGAGCTGTGGGTGGGTGCTGTACCTAGGGGTGGGTCTGGGCTGCAGAGTGCCCTGATCCCACAGGGACCTGTTGCAGGGCAGAGGGGACTGGGCTCAGCTACCCCATAGCTTGGGGTGACAGAGCCCAGCCCAGGCCCACTGGGTGTACTCACCATATTTGATGGGGAGCTGATGGAGCCAGTCCTTGGGGAAGCCACGAGAGCACCCGATAATGGCACTCAATTGCATTTTCATTTTTTAATGGGGGAATTATCCGCCGCTGGTGCAGTTAATCACTCATCTAGCTTTCCCTGGCCTAGAAGACGGGCTGCCAGCCAGAGGCAGCACAGGCAGCTCGGGAGGGGAGGTGAAGCCTGGCTCAGCCTGAATACAAATATGTCTCGTGCGGCCACAGCCCTCTGGCCAGCACCGCATGCAGGCAGTGGACTGGTGGGAGCTCCCCACTGCTGCCCACGAGCAGGGGCTGCTGCTGCTGTGGTAGCAGCTTTAGGGCACACAAAATGGGTCTGCTGCCCTTCCAAGGACAACCAACTGCTGGCTGTCCCTGGCACTGGCTGTCCCTTGGGGGTCTCTGTCTGTAACCCTGCTTGGGAGCTGTGGGAGGCAGGAGGGGCTGGCAGAGCCAAGGACTTTCAGGAAAGCTGGGTGTCCAGCCCTGGGCTCCACGCTGCAGAGACAGGGCATGGGGCACTGTCAGTGTCCTGGGGAGACCCTGTCACCCAGACTGGCTGATGCTCAGTGCTGGCAGCCTATCCTGGCCTGTCTGCACATCACATCCCTGCTTCTGTGCCTGCCTTGGAGGTCACCCCATCCCTCTGCTTTCCTGGGAGGCGACATCAGTGCGCGCTGGGCCTGGCAGACAGGTTGCTCTCAGCTGGTCCCTACCTTGGCAAGCAGGTGCCCATCCCTGGGCTGCGGTGCAGAGGGGAGGGGAGCTGGCAGGG